CTCCAGTTGGGACTTCAGGTGATCACAGCCTTGGTTGATCTCTTGGCCATCATCTTCTGAGAGAGCCACAGACAGGACCATTCAGCTAAGTGAAGCGAAAGTGAAAGTCACTCAGTTATGTCTGACTCTTTATGACCCCATGGACTGTAGCCTACCAGGCTCCTCTGTCCATGGAATTCTCCAGGCCAGAATACTGGAGTGGGTAGCCATTCCCTTCTCCAGGAGATCTTCCCAACCTAGGAGTTGAACTGGGGTCTCTTGTACTGCAGGCAGATTCTTTACCAGCTGAACTATGAGCTAAGCCACTCTCCAATTCCTGATCTATAGCAATGGAGTGAGATAATAAATGGTTATTTTTATTTTGAACCTCTAAATTTAGAAGCAATTTGTTCTGTATCAATAGCTAACTAAAATGCAGATCCCCAAGCTCCCCTGGCCATTCTGAGCTGTAGACTTGAGATGAGGCTGGTGATTCTGGGGCAGAAGGGCACCTTTGGCTCTCAGGAGAGTTCAGTGGCAGGGAAATGCCCTCCCCTTCACAGGCCCCATGTTTTGAGAGTCCCTCTCCTTTCCAGAGCTCTCATATGTTCCAAGTACATGGCGCTTCTTTTTTTCCCATAATCACTGCTTCCTTCTGTCTGGATCAAGTAACTGTCTGGTTCACAGTGTAGGCTATACACTGCTTTCTTATTTACAGTGGTCTTTCTCCCTGCATGTGTGTGTGCTAAGTCACTTCAGTCATGTCCAACTCTTTGCAACTGCATGGACTGTAGCCCACCAGGCTCCTCTGTCCATGGGATTCTCCAGGCATGGTTACTGGAGTGGGTTGCCATGCCCTCCTCCAGGGGACCTTCCCGACCCGGGAATCAAACCCATCTCTCAGGTCTCCTGCATTGGCCAGTGAGTTCTTTACCCCACTAGTGCCACCTGGGTAGCCCATTGCCCTGCAAGGCCCAGGCAAACCAGGGGAGATGGCTCAGACACCACCCCAGAATGCCCAGCTCCACCCAGGGGCCACTCAGAGCCTAGGCCCTGACCCAGCTGGGGGTACAGGGCTGGGCCTGGAGCTCAGGAGCAGGCAGGCTCCAGCTCTGCCCTGGGGGACTGAGCTGTTAGCAGGAAGTCAGGCACAAAAGCAGGTCATTGCCAAATGCTTTGGGTATGGAGCTGCATCTCAATGGCAGGGCACTTGACCGGAAGATCCTATGGGAAGAGATGAAAAAATGTGAACTGGTCCCACAGGAGCACAGACAAAGAATTTTTTTTTTTTTTTGCCAAACGTGCCCAACATTCAGAGAAGTTTCCTGAAGACACTACCTGACATGGCTGTGAAGAGCTAATACTAGTCTAGATCAAGGAATTATCAAACTACATACCGTGAGCCAAATTCAGACAGCTCCTGGTTTTCACACAACCCATGACCTGAGAGAAATTTTTACATTTTTAAATGATTGGGGAAAAAAATCAAGAGAAGAAAACTATCTTACAATATGTGAACATGATATGAAATTCCAGATCTTCATGTCTCAAAATCAAGTTTTGGTGGAACCCAGAATGCTTAATTATGTATTGTGTATGACTGTTTCCATGTTGTGTTGCCCCCATAGAGAACCTGTGGCAGGCAAATCCTCAAATGTTTACTCCCAAGCCCTTGAGAATGACCTTCTTCTGAGCAGAAAGTGCTGACTTCCTTCCCAGATAGAAGGGACACTGTGGGAGAGGCTCCAGGTGAGAAAATCCATGGTGTACATGGAGAGCTGCCCGCCGTGGGTAGTGTGATCTGGGCATGGAGGTGAGGAAGAGAGAGGAGGAAATGAGGCCAGGGTCACATCATGGAGTGGTCAAGGCTTTCACTTAGACAGTGCCATGCATGGAATGGGGAGGAAGCTTTGAACCAGGAAGATGTGGCAATGGGAACCAAGGTCCAGGTGGGGACGGTGCAAGTCAGTCACGGAACAGACTGAGACTGGCGCCTAAAGGTGGAATAAGAGTACAGAAAGCAGGGAAAAGGAGCCAAGAAGGATGAAGGAAACCCACCCACTAGGCAATTTTGCAGAACAGCAACCGCAATAACCCAGGCATTACTGTCAAGTCATCACTGCCCCTTCAGATGCTTGAAAGTGAAAGCAAAAGCGTCTCTTTGTGACCCCATACACTATACAGTCCATGGAATTCTCTAGGCCAGAATACTGGAGTGGGCAGCCATTCCCTTCTCCAGGGGATCTTCCCAATCCAGGGGTCAAACCCAAGTCTCCCTCATTGCAGGCAGATTCTTTACCATCTGAGTCACCAGAGAAACCCAAGAATACTGGAGTGGGTAGCCTATCCCTTCGCCAGGGGATCTTCCTGACCCAGGAATCAAAGCAGGGTCTCCCACATTGCAGGAGGATTCTTTACCAGCTGAGCTACCAGGGAAGCCCCTCAGATGCTTAGTTGAAATGAATAAAGGGCTTGTCTTCATTATTTATTTTCCAAGTCTGTAATGAGTCTCTCCAGTGGGAAGTTACCCTTTTGCATGTTCTCAGATCAGGGACTTGAAGATACGATAATGTACCCAAAGGCACTTTAAAATCAGTAGGAACCTACATCAATGTCAGCTGCTATTGATCAGTTGAGCCTAGATTAGAGCCAGGTCACAGAGGGACAGTTCAGATGGTTAAATATTGTCTTTCCTTCAATATTTCTCACCACTGGCGGTTTAGCCTAAAGGTGCTTATTCTCCATTCATCTTGTGTTGCTCTTTGAGTGACCCTCAGGAGGTAGTCGAGTCTACGAGTTATCAGTTTGGCAAACAGGCTAATCACCTCTTGCCATTTGTCTCTGTTGGAGAAGAACCAGCATAACCATCATCCACAAGACGAACTGCCTTGATAATTATACCGAATATTTGGGGTGGGGGAGGTTAAAGATCCAGGACTAATCTAATCTCTCTTTGGTAATTTGTCATTTAGATGATCTTCCTGTAAAAGGTGAAGGACAAAAACTGTGGGAGGAGGGCAACAAAAGATGGTGTGCTTCAGATAATCTTTTTAACCTCAAGGACACCCAAGGAGCATTGAGTCTCAGGCATTAAACAAGCAAAATGACTCGGAAACCATTGGAGATGCTTTCTCAGCGTTATTTTGCCTTTATTTACCTTTGGGGGAGGGGGGGAAATGAAGTCAGAATTATTTTTAAATAAGAAAGATGCTAAAAACAAACCCATTAAAAGGCACAAATTAAATATTCATATGCACAATCCCACATCCTTAACAGGCACTCTTCCAGGAGGAGGTGGGCTGCCTGCCTCTTCTTTAAGGACATTCATCTCCCTCAGAGCCACCTGCTGATGGCCACCTCCCGTCCTCTCTCCATACCCGCATTGCAAGTCAACAGTCCTTTGAATCTCTTCACTGCCTACCATGTTCTTTTTGGGGGGCAGTTTCCTTTTTAAACCATTGCCACAAGCGCAAACAAACTTAAGATGGCTGAACTGGCCACTTTTCCCTAAAGAGCAAATTCTCACCGTTTATTTCTGGGAAGAAGGCAAGCATCAGAAAAGCAGGCTTAGGGACAGTGAACATAAAGCAAAGGGTGTGTTGTGAATTGATGAGGGAATGTGATATTTCCACTGGCCATTAAACCAGTGACATCAGACCCACTCCCATGACCCTTCCAGCCACGATTAAAAGAGGTGAAAGATGGTTTCTAGAAGTTCGGTCTACTGTGGAAGAGGGTTTCAGTCACCAAAGTAGATGCCAAGAATACACATGGATTAACAAACAATTAGGGAACAAAAAATACCAAAGGACTATTTAGAACCTCTTTCTTTCTTATAGGGACCTGAAAGTAGGGTCAGTTACATGATTTGTGGGGCCCAGTACAAACTGAAAAATGCAGGCCTCTGTTCAATGATTATTAAGAATTCCAGGACTCCTAGTGCAGGAGCAGTCTCTTTCGGAGTGCAGGCCCTGGGTAACCGAACAGGTGGCATGCCCGTGAGGGTTTAAGGCAGTTTCCAAAATGTGTCTAATTTACTCCGAGAGAGTTAATTCACTCACTAAGAATTTGTCTTATAGAGCAAGATTAAACAGCCCTGGAATAATTTTTCTATAATCCTGCAAAGGAATGAATTTTCCTCTAACATATATATTGAACTGGCACAAGTGGACTTTCGCCTGTGAGATGCTTATGCTGGGGAAGAGCTGTCCAGGCCTGCCTGAGTACCACACACGTGTCTGCAAATGTCCCCAGGCTGGCAAGATTTAACACACTTTGGAATTGGGTCACTTTCGTATTAAAAAAAATTAAAAATCTTTGATATAATGGGTTTTGAAAATACACTTAAATATTTCAAAATCCCATTTCCTTTGTTGCTTTCTCCTTTAATAGAAATGTGCTCACTGCCCTCTGCTATTATACTCAAAAGTGTGGTCTCTTTAAGTGCTTTATTGAAAAACTGTCTCACTGATGTTATGTGACAAGTTAGTAGGAAAAGCAATTAGTGATTTGAGCTATAAGACAAAGGGTCAGTTGATGACAGAAATCGTTCAAGTTTTGAGAGCCAAAGCGAAAGTGCGATCAGATTAAAGGATGTAGCAGCCCTAGACGTAGTAGAGGAACCTGCGGAGACATCTTCCACAAGAGACAGAAAAACCAAAGAGGTCTTGGTAAAGGCCGGAGCAGGAGGGTCCTGGAGCACCTGAACACGGGTTAAGCGGAGGTACTAGGTGGGCAAAGAGGCTGATCACTCCTCGTCACTCTCCAAGTTCCCACATCTATCTCTACTCCCGAGCCAGGTAATGAGAACACAGATAGGCGCCTGGCAATGACCACATTGATAGGCACGCCAGGCAAAAACCGCCCTCAGGATGGAGTAAGGCGGACGTACGACGAGAGGATGAGCCAAAGCTCGCGAGAACATCGAAGGAAATTGCCCGAGTGGGTGGTGCCTCCTCACATTTCATTGGTTGAAGTCGTTCATGTGGCCACGCCCAAAACCGCAGGGGAAGGACACTTTGCCTCAGCGAGTACACTTAAGTGGTCATGTAGCAAAAGGGGAAAAGAATAGAGAACAATCCATCTTGATGATCAGGGAGGCAGGAACGTTCCCATCAGAGATTCCCCCTTCTTTCCCCAACTTATTTTCACAAACTTGGACATGAATGTGGCCCATATAAGCCCAGCAGTGGGAGAAAGGGCAGGAGGGCCTCCGGTTGGGGTGCGTATCTTTGGGCTTGGAAGAGATGAAGCCACGTGGTGAAGCTGAAGGCGCCATTTTGGTGGGTTCTCATCTCCAGCCGCAGTTCCTGCAGCTGCAGTTAGACTGTGAACACCGCACCCGAAAGACCTGTTCTATTGCTCAGAACAGTGAAGGGCAAGAGAAGGGTCTCCTTCTTGACACACCGCATCCTGGTGGGGCACTAGAGGTAGCCGCAGGACCAGCCCCAAGGGCACAATGAGCGAGGATGTCTGGGGACAGGCTGGAGCCTCCGGGAGTCTGGAGTGTGAGGCGTTCATGGTCATCCAACCCTCAGACACATGAAGGTGGGTCTGGACTTTGACCTGGATCCTGGAGTCAGAGTGGAAATAGGCCTGGGTGAAGAAGGTCCTTTTTCGCTCATAAAGCTGAGGTGTCGGATGGATTTTAAGATGAAGTTTGGCCACAGAGAAGATGCAAGGGAGTTGGAGAGGTGTAGCTTGCAAATATCCCGGGAGTGAAGAGCCCTGGGGCAGGAAGGTGCTTTTGGAACTTCTGTGCCAAGCCCAGGGGTGAAGAGGCAGCTGTGTGGGGCAACCAACCCATTGGGACAATGACTCCATTTACCCATGAGAATCATAGGATTTGTTAAGAATCAATAAAAGGGCAACTTCTGCAATGCTGTTAGGATTATGCAATCCATTCAGTTGGATTATTTTTAACTAGATGACCAGTTGATTCCCTGGTCCCTTAATCAATAATGTTTGGATAAAAGGGTTTCTACCTTACGAATTAAGAACCAGGATCTATGGCTCTAAAATTTTTTTCCAAAGAGCAGATAACCAATTTATGTATGTGCCTGGTGCCTTTAAATATTTGCATTAAGCCGTGCAGAGTTAGGGGATTCCTGCAGTCCTGTCCTTGTGGACTGTCTTGCAGGAAGAGGTCATGGCTTCAACAGTGACAAGAAGAATGGTTGCTGCTCCGGCCTTATGCTGTTACCGTGTTGCTCAGCCAGCTGCTAGGGGTGCAAGGTTGGGTGAAGGGACTGGCCCTGCCCAGATTCCTGCCCCGCATTGGCCCCACCAGCCACGATGCAGAGGGAGATAATGCAGAGTGAATCAGGGGTTATCAAGCTACCCAGGCCTACCTGGTAAGTAATGCTTATGTATGCATGACATCTGGCTCTCCCACCTCGGTCATCCCCACTCCCTTCTGAGCACTGATGTGCAAAAGGCTAGTTCTTTCATCCTGGATTTTTTTTTTCTACAAAAAATATAGAAAAGAAGGAGGAGGGAACAGTACGTATATGATATGTTGGTTCTTTGGAATATATGATAAAAGTTGACAATTTTGAAAATGTTTAAAGAGAGATGAGGGTCATGGGATTTTTACAGCGATCCCCGAGAGTAGGTTTCTCATCTTCCTCCCCGAGGCTGTGTTCTGGGGAGGCTTCAGCCTCAGTCCTGTGGAAGGAGGGGCTCTGCTGCATAATTTCTGATGGTGCCCACCCCCCCCAGCTCTAGACTCCTCCGAGTCTACACTTCTGGCCCTCTTTCCATAATGGAACACTTTTTTTTTTTTGGTTGGGTTTTCAATCTGTTCCTGAATCAGTTCAGTTCAGTGGCTCAGTCAGGTCTGACTCTTTGCAACCCTATGGACTGCAGCACGCCAGGCTTCCCTGTCCATCACCAACTCCCGGAGTTTACTCAAACTCATGTCTATTGAATCAGTGATGCCATCTAACCATCTCATCCTCTGTCGTTCCCTTCTCCTCTTACTTTCAATCTTTCCCAGCATCGAGGTCTTTTCAAATGAGTCAGTTCTTCACATCAGGTGGCCAAAGTATTGGACTTTCAGCTTCAGCATCAGTCCTTCCAATGAATATTCAGGACTGATTTCCTTTCAGATAGACTGGTTGGATCTCCTTGCAGTCCAAGGGACTCTCAACAGTCTTCTCCAAAATCAACGTTCAAAAGCATCAATTCTTCAGCAGTCAGCTTTCTTTATAGTCCAACTCTCACATCCATACATGACTACTGGAAAAACCAAAGCTCTGACGACAGACCTTTGTTGGCAAAGTAATGTCTCTGCTTTTTAATATGCTGTCTAGGTTGGTCATAGCTTTTCTTCCAAGGAGCAAGCATCTTTTAATTTCATGGCTGCAGTCATGATCTGCAGTGATTTTGGAGCCCCCCAAAATAAAGTCTGTCAATGTTTCCACTGTTTCCCCATCTATTTTCCATGAAGTGATGGGACCAGATGCCATGATCTTAGTTTTCTGATTGTTGAGTTTTAAGCCAACTTTTTCACTCTCCTCTTTCATGTTCATCAAGAGGCTTGTTAGTTCTTCTTTGCTTTCTGCCATAATAAGACTTGGGTTTATTCTAATGGAACCAAAAGTGAGAAAGGCATTTCACTTATTTGTCTTTCATTCAACCATGTTCATATAAAAGGTGTGGAGCTGGTGGGTTTGGGGGGGCATGCACACCCCATGGTGGCCCTTTGGTGGAGGTTACTATCACATGTCCAAGAGCCTTTTCCCTCCAAACCTGCTTGTGTCACTAGGGCTTGCTTCCTTATCCACAGGAGGACAGCACTTCCTAAAGCTGTAACTCACCTGCAATGCAATTGCAGGGTCTTTAGGGCTCTACTTTCCTATCCCGAAGTGTAATGCACAGCTAGAATTTTCCCTTTTAGAAGAAGATAAAATCTATAGCCTAACTTTATGTTTTGGCACTGTATTTAACTCAGATTTCTACCTCAAACTGAATTTAGAAAAGAAAATATTCAAACCACATAAAATCTGGTTTGTTGACAACAACAATGTTGAAATGAATCCAACTCTTGTTTTACCTTAGGCCCTGTCACAAGAAACATGAAGTGGTTCAAAATCAAAACCTGCAGCCAGGAGGGGTGATGAACAAATAGCTTTAATCAGGAAAACCACAGTGTTCTGATTTCTGTCTCCAATGGGATTCATTGTTTAGTTGGCACCCAACCTGGAAGATACCCACCAGTAGGAGAGGCATTTAAGAGTGCCTTACCCTGGACTGTGGTACAAACAGAACAAGAGGAAACTGGTTCAAGAAAGCAGCCGCTCAATATGGATGGCCCTAGAGATTGTCATACTGAATGAAGTAAGTCAAACAGAGAAGGATAAGTATCAAAGGGCATCCCTTATATGTGGAATCTAAAAAGAAATGATATAAATGAACTTACAAAATGGAAAGAGACTCAGAGAACGAATTTATGGTTGCTGGGGTGAAGGATGAGGGGAAAGATAGGGAGGTTGGGATGCACATGTGCATACTGCTGTATTTACAATGGATGGCCAACAAGGGCTTACTGTATAGCACAGGGAATCCTGTTTAATGTTATGTGGCAGCCTGGATGGGAGGAGAGTTTGAGGGAGAATGGATACATGTATATGTATGGCTGAATCCCTTTGCTCTTCACCTGAGGCTATCACAACATTGTTAATCAGCATTACCCCAATACAAAATAAAAAGTTAAAAAAACAAACAAAAGCAGCTGCTCAAATTAGAGGGGACAATTGAAGGATCAACCCTTGTAAAAGACACCTGTCTCTTAGAGGTAGTTTCTGCTTGCTTTACAGCAGAATTTCTTAAAAGAATCATCCATATGTTTCCAGCGCTCCATCTCTCATTCACTTCTCAACCCCATCAGATTTTCACCTGCACCTCTCCATGGACACGAGCCTTGAAGTCTTCTGTACCATTTTTATCTGACCAGGTTCAGTGGACAGTTCTCTGTTGACATTCACTTGATCTCTTAGCAGCATCAAACCAGGTAAGTACATCTCCTTAAACACCTGCCTTCCAGGCCACCACACTTACCTTATTTTCCTTTGACCTCTCTGGTCTCTTCTTCCTAGTCATTGTTGGAATGCTCTCGAACTCAGTCCTCAGCCTTCCCAAAGCTGTTCAACCATTGCCATGGGTTTACATGTCACATGTGTACTAGTGGTTTTCAAGCTTGTATCTGTAATTCTTCCTTGACCTTAGGTAACTGCCAACTTGACTTCACTTCTTGGATGTCTAACAGGCATCTTGAGTTGAATATGACAGATTCCCTTCCTCATAGCCATCCTTACCCCAGCCTCCTCCATGTCCCTGCAGCACAGACATTACCCTCAAAAGGGATTAAGAGGGATGTGAAACCTTTCATGGAACTTTGTGTGTAGATGTCCTGAAATTTCCATTTCATTGCTAGTAAGAGAGTCAAAAGGTAGTCTATTTCAGAGGAGTTATTCTTAATTTTAGAAAGTTCTGGAATATAGATGCCTGATTAGCATATAATGAACGAATGAGAAGTAGGGAACTTAAATAGCCACCGACGGGAGTCAGAGCCTTGTATATCTGGGTGGAGATTTACCAAAATGTCAGTTTTCAGAGATTTAAGAACCTCTCTGTCTGGTCTGGTGCTCTGGATACTTCTCTGCCTAAACACACACATCAACAGCTGGTGTGTTAAAGTATGATATTGAATTGCTGCTGCTGCTGCTGCTAAGTCGCTTCAGTCGTGTCCGACTCTGTGCGACCCCATAGATGGCAGCCCACAAGGTTCCCCCACCCCTGGGATTCTCCAGGTAAGAACACTGGAGTGGGTTGCCATTTCCTTCTCCAATGCATGAAAGTGAAAAGTGAAAGTGAAGACGCTCAGTCGTGTCCGACTCTTAGCAACCCCATGGACTGCAGCCTACCAGGCTCCTCCGTCTGTGGGATTTTCCAGGCAAGAGTACTGGAATGGGTTGCCATTGCCTTCCCCGGATATTGAATAGCAGCTTAAGTTTGATATTACAGGTAGATTGCCTTAGGCCTAGCATATACCAGTTTTCCCTGTATCAATTCAAAACCCTTAAAATTGATCACTTGGTTCTGCTGCTTTCCACATGGCTTGAAAGTTACCTCTGATGGATGTTTGGGAAAGAGTGGAGATTGCATGCTGTCAGTTTCCCCCTCCCCATAAAACTGCATGAGAAGGGTAAGGCCATATGTGGAAAGATCAATTTATGTCACCTCTAAATAAGACTGAGCGACTTCACTTTCACTTTTCATTTTCATGCATTGGAGAAGGAAATGGCAACCCACTCCAGTATTCTTGCCTGGAGAATCCCAGGGACAGAGGAGCCTGGTGGGCTGCCATCTATGGAGTCACGCAGAGTCGGACATGACTGAAGTGACTTAGCAGCAGCAAATAAGCTTAAGAAATAACATGGACAGAGCAATGTCAGACAGATATTCTCTTTTTGCTTCTAACATTTCAGTTACTTGTGACCTTGATGTCATCTTCCTTCAGGTCATAATCCTTCTGTTGTTGTTCAGTCACCCAGTCATGTCTGACTCTTTGAGACCCCATGGACTGCAGCATGCCAGGCCTCCCTGCCCCTTACCATCTCCCAGAGTTTGCCCAAGTTCATGGGCAATCTTTAATAGTCCTTTTGAACAATCCAAAAACAGATCTTAATGATAAAAATATTGGTGGTCATGGAATGAGGCAGAGAAACCAATAATGAAGGGACAGTGTGAAGTCATTAAAGCATGAAGTCATTGCCTTAAATGAAACTCTCGTTGTATACTAGGGAGCTATAGGTTCCTTTCTGAAACATGAAAAAGGGCTGGTGACCCATGAGTCAGGCTCTGTTGATGATCCGTGAGGGAGGAAGTCAATTGCTCTCCTTTCTTGGGCCCACTTGGGGCCAGTGAGAGGCCAGAACATGACAGGAAGTGATGAAGAAGAGCCAAGGACACGGGCAGCACCCCTAATCTCTACTTACATATATAGTATGTGTGCATGCTTTTATACTACGTGCATAGTACGTGTACATGTGTGTCTATACACTTTCACATTTATATACCTAGTATATATGTGCACATGCACATACACATACATATATGTATGTACACACACCATAGTTTACATTTCAGAGACATTGCAGGATTTCTGAGGACAGTCTGGGAGCAAGTCATCATTTATTCCAAGAAGTGCCACACGTACAGGAGACAACTCAATATATAGTTAAATATCTGCATTATTTAATATTTGCACTTAATTCCATTTGATTGACATTTGATTCCAGTGCCACATTTGATTCCCGTTTGGTTGGAGTCACGTTGCAATCACATTTGATTCCATTTTGATTGGCATTTGATTCCTTTGCTGTTATTGTGTTTTGTTTTTCCTGAGAATTTGATTTCATTTGATTGGCATTTGTTCCTCTGCTTCTACTGTGTTTTGTTTTTCCTGAGAATCTGATTTCATTTAATTTGCATTTGTTCCTCTGTTCCTATTGTGTTTTCTTTTTCCTGTGAATGTACATTAAGTTGGAGGAACTGTACGTGCATGTGGCCTCCTGAACTCAGGAAAAGAGAAGAATTCAACAGAAGGTCAGTCAAGGAGGAAAATGAGTGGGTGGCACTGGCAAGTGTGGCATGGACTGCTTGCAAGGTCCAGCTGAATTCTGACGATTTCATTTTTGAGAACAGATTCTATTTTAGAGAGTTCTCACCGCAGGATGTCTGGGCCACAGGAGACTGCAGTCCGATCAATACTTTCTCCTCTTATTCTCTTCTATATTACCTCATTTTAATCATGAGACATCAAGGCAATGGTCATTTCTCTTTTTTTTTTAATTTTTTTTTAATTGAAGTATTGTTGATTTACAATGTTATGTTAATCTCTACTATACAGCGAAGTGATTCAGTTACACATATATGTGTGTATGTATATATACATCTTTTTTACTATTCTTTTCTATTATGGTTGATCACAAGATATTGAATATAGTTCCCTTTGCTATACGGTAGGGCTTTGATGTTTAACCATTCTGTATATAAAAGCTTACATCTGCTAACCCCAACCTCCCACTCCATCCCTGCCCCAAACCTCTCCCCATTGGCACCCACCAGTCTGTTCTTTATGTCCTTGGTTCTCCTTCTGTTTCATTTGGACACAGAGACAGACATGCAACAGGGGAAAGACAGTGGGAGGAGATGGCTGTGGACAGTCCAAGAAGAGAGGCCTGGGATGGAGGCTCCCTCTCAGCCCTCAGAAAGAACCAACCTGTTGACACCTAGATTTCAGCCGGCCGGCCTCCAGAACTGGGAGAGAATCCAGTGCTAAGCCACTCAGCCTGTGGTCCTTTATCATGGCAGCCCTGGGGCCTGAACGTAGTGTGTTCTGGTCCATGTGCTCAGTGAGGACTTGTCCCCCTAATAATGAAAAGAGAGGGCTGTGAGGAGTGGCCTCCCCTCTTGCTGCCTGGCAAGTGGTGTGTGAAGCCTTGGGACTTGGAGGTCTGGAGCCATCCTGTGATGTGCGAGACTTGCCCTGGACAGAGGCGTCTCATGAGGGCGTCAGAGTAGAGCAAAAGAGCCTGGGGCCTGTAGGACACCAAGCTGACCCAAGGCATCGACTTGCAGACTTGGGCTTTGTGATACAATTACACATCTTTATGGCATGAGATATTGATATTGAGAAACAGTCATTTAATTGCCAACACAATATGATTCTAATCGTTTATCCTTGGATGCCCCCAAAGCTGATCTTTGTATCTTAGTGGTGTAGAGACTACACACAAAAGATATTAAAATCAGACTGGCATATACTTCATTTCCATTTGAATTTTTAAATGAGTCATAGCTAGCTAATCGTCACTCGGTCGTATCTATTTGCAATGCCATGGACTGTACAGTCCATGGAATTCTCCAGTCCAAAATACTGCAGTGTAGCCATTCCCTTTTCCAGGGGATCTTCCAAACCCAGGGACCAAACCCAGGTCTCCCACATTGCAGGCAGATTCTTTACCAGCTGAGCCACCGGGGAAGCCCAAGAATACTGGAGAGGGTAGCCTATCCCTTCTCCAGGGGATCTTCCTGACCCAGGAATCGAACCAGGGTCTCCTGCATTGCAGGTGGATTCTTTACCAGCTGAGCTACCAGGGAAACCCTTAAATGAGTCACACAAGATGCTAAATGTAAGAAATTGAAACTTGCACTTTCCAGTAGCATTTAAAATGCCTTTGACCCTAGAAACGGATCACTTGACAGTGAAGAGAGGTTGTGAGGATTGAATTAACTTTCACGTTTGAATTTGAGTAGAAGATTCTAGTGCAAAGGGCTATGAAGCCTTCATGGACCATCTCGCTGCTGCTCAAGGCTCTGATAACGTCAGCAGCAGGCCATCCTCCGAGGGGGCTCACCCAGGCGGGCAGCCCAGGGGCAGGTGGAGCCAGGAAGCATGAGGGGCACAGACCCAGGAGGGGACCAAAACTAAATGCTAAGAGGGCCACATTTAAAGAAGCTGGGGAAGGGAGGGGGGAAATGAGTCTAGAGAGGTGAGATGAGAACACTGCAAGTGGTGCTGCTGGAGGCGATGGAGAGAGCATCACGGTCCCATTTTCCTATGGTTCTAGCTATGTGGACTGGGGGAAGTGGTGGTGAATTAAGGAAAAGTAAAGAACTGACTCATTCCCTTGCAGGTTATTCTGATGCTGTTCCCTGAAAGATACTGCTTTGGCATGGGATTTCTCTTGCCACCACCCAGCACAATGGCTAGACACCACCATCCTCTGAGGAGACATGAGTAAGCTTTTCTTATTCCTAAAGATGTTTCCTGAATCTCCTTCCACGTTCCTGAAATCCACCCATACCAAGTCCTTTCTTTGGCTGTTACTCCATACAGGTACTCAGCTTCTACTTCTGGTAGTATGGTGGACTATGTTATTTGGATCAGTCTTTCTTCTGACAACTAAAAATTCTGGATGAAAAGATTTTAAACTATCTTCTTAAAACTATTAAAGCATCAATAAAATAGTAAGGAACGATCAGGTCAGAATATTATTGAAAACTGAAACCTAGAAAGGTCAAGGAGAAGCACCAAAGTTCCTTTTGCTCTGAGAGCATTTGCCCACCTAGGTGAACTTGAACTTCTGATTTGACATCCTTTGGGGGCATAGAGGATAGAAAAGATTAATCCGCATTGCCTCTGTTTCAGCCCTTTATTCCTTTTTATTACTGAATAGTACTCCAATGTATGGATGTAAAACAGATGGATTACATATTCACCAGTTCATGAACATTTGAGTTGTTTCCAGTTTTTGGCAATTAAAAATCAGGTCACCATAGACAATCATGTAGAGATTTTTGTGTGAATATAAGTTTTGATTTCTCTTGGATGTAGATGTAGGAGTGGGATTGCTGGGTTGTATGGGAAGTGTATGCTTAATTTTACAAGAAACTGCTAAGAGTTGTGCCATTTTGCACCAGCAGTGTGAGAATTCCAGTTG